ATTGAATCCTTATCTGAATATGTATTTTTTTGTACTTGTACGAACTAGTAGGATACTTATATTAAAAGTAAAATAAATATACCATCATTTTACAGTATTACTAAATTTTATTTACCTATGCTTAAATCTACCAAGATTACATGTAAAATAAATCCCATGTTATCTTGTCGTTACAATGTAATCTTTTCACTCCAGCCCTCTACTCTTTCGATAAATATGCTAATATTTGATTTCGATAAAATTCTGTCATACAAATTTCATTTCAATATTCATTTATTGAAAATCAAACGGATCATTGAGATAAAAGATAAATTGCTCAGACAGTCAATAAATCTATGTTAGATAATGTTTCTGATTTAAAGCATAAAAATCCAGGTAAGAAATCACACCTGATGCTACAGGTATAGATCAAAGGGTTCAATGTCCTTTGATCTCATGTAAGAAATAGGTAAATATAAAATGGGATGTGAGAGGAGGAGAAGATGGCAGGATATGTTTACACCTAGCTACAGACCTTCTGAGTGGGTCATAGTTTGGTTGTTATATTTAATGACATATTACAGCTTTCAATAGCAGTCGGGCCCTCTGTGGCAGAGTGGTCAAAGTAATTTATCGGCTGTATCACTAGCCTGTCAACACTGAGGTTGTGAGTTTGAACCCCATATTTATGGCAGGTGCATTTGACTCCAAACTTAATTGACTAAGATTGTCAGTTTTCCTACTAAAGGTTAGTAGTTCTCTCCGGTCACTCTGGCTTCCTCCGCCAATAATAACTGGCTGCCACAATATAGCCAATAGTGCTGAGAATAGCATTAAACACCAACAATTAATCAATCAATCAGTAGAAGTCTGTACAACAAACCCCAATCCTTAAACTCCAAAGCCTGTGACTTAGTATGAATTGGTAAGGGCTATTGAAAATTTATATAAGATTTGTTATACGCATGAAAGTATTTTCTTGAAATGAGTGTTCGGGCTTGAATAAATGTATTCGTCATAGACTACACTAAAAAAATTGAGTATGGAAATGGGGAATGTGTCAAAGAGACAACAACCCTACCAAAGAGCAGAAAACAGCTGAAGGCCACCAATGGGTCTTCAACACAGCAAGAAAAATCCCGCTCTCCCAGCCTTCAGCTGTCCCCTAAACAAAAACTACAGTAGTTCACACAAATGAATTTCCAGACATGATCGTACAAAGCTCCAGATTATGAATGGTCCTCCCACTGAACATTGATAATGTTTGATCATTAATATTGACAGTATAGATAGAAGGATTGTGTAAAGAGACAGCAATGAATTTGTAAGATATTTAACACCCTAACGTCTGAAACATCCGTGCTGAGTGGGTTATAAGGTCAATGATATGATGACAACACATTGATTTCCTTTTAACCTGTTGTCATTCCACTGTTACTGAAATCAAACTGTCTGTCCAAGAGACAAAATCTCTTTTCCTCTTTATGTTTAGTTTGATACTTGTAGAAAGAAAGGGAAAACTTGATTTCAACCCATTATTATGTCTTAATTACAACGCTGGTTAAATTCCTCTGCTTCGTGGATGACCTGGGTTTGTCCCGTCAAGGGCTTTTATGATTCCTCAAATGGTGCAAAGAAAACAATGGCATACGGTTTAAATCGTCAATCTAGATTTCGTCCTGTCATTATATTGAACATATAGCTTTGGATTTTTGTAATGTTTTTGGTAAGTTACTTAGATGAAGGGGTGGAAACTTTGAAAATATGGTCAGCATAATTTTAGAATTAAATATTGCATAAGAAAAAGTTTTGTAACAGATTAAATTAAGATATGGCTGCATAGAAAATACATATCAATTTTATTTAAGCTATATCTAAATAAAGATTAGATAAAACTCTAGAATTAAAAAAAAATGATAAAATGCAAATGCAACAATTATGAAAGTACGTACAACTATGCATAGGAAAACATACACACATTTTGATATAACAGGTTATTTCGTGGTTGTAGCATAAAAATGTAATTTTATAAGAATTGAAATCTTGTAATTAATATAATTTTATAGGTTTGTATAAGCGTGGATCGTGCACACATTTTAGTGAGAGGTTCTTCTGTGCTTCTCTAAAATATAAAAAATCTTAAACATGTGTATGTCAATATTAAATGAATTATTGACTGGACACTTTTATAGACACACAAATTTTCATGTTGTCTTATCTTGTTACCAACATTAATATTAAAAATTTTTAATTTTATTCTCTATCTTAGAATAAAATTTGATCCATTTAATTAAAGAAGTTAAAGCTAATATTACACAGGGTGATATTTGATAAGTTATCGACTGGTCATCTGAAAGACAAACAGATATTACATTTAATCTTGTCCAATATCTGTTTAGGTGGGTGATTTATTACCTTGAAAAGGGAGATAATTCAATCTATATCATGTTTAATATTTAATACAGATCAAAATCTCTCAAGTTTAATTATAAAAACTTGTTAAAAAATAATTATAAATGTTATTTTTGCTTGTTGGTCTTTTAATTATTAATTATAACTAATGTATTGACCTATATATTTGAGATAGTAAGAAGTAATGTTTTGAATTTTTGTTTACAGATCTAATCAAAGTACTGAAGTACTGAACATCGGATGACCACAAGTTCTTGAGGATGGTCAAAAGCACTTGTCTCAGAAAAAAACAACATATCTCTTTACCTGAAACTGAGGTTAATGTACAGAGATATATTTTTTTCTGAGACAAGTTCGTGCGTGGATGATGAATAAATGACAGGAAATTCAACTTCACCATAATAACTATTATATTGCAGTGATACAAATCAGTATACATGGTGGACACTTTTCTGTAAAAATTCGATTTTTCTAAGATTGGATACGAGTAGGCATTCATATTTTCCCGCAAAAAAAATTACAGAGTTACCGGTCCTCGCAAAAAGTTCTCTGAGATATTCTTCCGCATGCTTTAACACAATTTTTCGGTACGTCTGCATTGATATTATCAATGATTTTTTACTTATATATATATATCGAACTACAAAACATTTTCATATTATTAATTTATGTTGTAAACAAAAATATTTTTATCAGTATTCATTGAAGAGATGTATTTATATCAAACGATAAGGAATGTTATTTTGCATTCGTTTATGTGCGCATATTTATCATGTTTATAGATCGGTTACAAACCCAAAACTAATTTACATAATGGAAATCTAGGCGATAGCAATACATCTGAATGACCCCAAGGTCATCGCGATGTAAAAATTGACCTTTGATTGATGTTTTACCTATGCATTGCATTGTGATAAAACCTGATACATGTCTTAGTAACAATACTGAAAAGTCATAAGTGTGTACCCTTCGCTGTATAAATTTGATAAGTTTGATTCAGATTTAAGATTTCATTAAATTTTTATCTGTCATTTAGTAATTAATTGAATTGCATTATACATGTGCTAATGATTTGTTAATGATCTTTTACTGACACGAGAAAAACAGTTATGAATTCAATATTTTATTTAGCATGGAATTTCCTGTTGGACAAAACATTTATTACAGACCCTCTGAGCATGTTTGATTCCAAACAAAGTCTAATGACTTTCTAGAAAGCAAGTGGTGGTATGCTTTTCACAACATCCCCTGCAACTTCTGTTTTCATTTAACTATGCCATTGTTATAAGGTCAAAACTGTTAACCTGACCAAAAAATTGCCAGATATCAAATGAATGAATACATTAATGATTTTATGACCTCCTAAAATCTATATAAATGACCAAGTATTGGACAAGTTTTTACAGGACCTGCTTGTTTTGACACCTGAGTTCAGCCTGTATCCATTATAACCTAAATACTCAGGATTAAACTTGTCATGTATAAATCTCAGACAAACACTCAACTTTGTTTACAAATGTATCACTTTAAATGGAATTATTAAGAGCTCTATGACACTTGGCTATAGTTTTGATAAATTGGATTTCTTATGGACACTGGTCAAGGAGGTCATTATGACAGCAAAAGTGACCCCTCTAGATTTTACGAATACTTTGCAGTCCTTCTGAACATCTAGGTGCTCACATGTTGTTGGCAGTGACAAGCAAAGACAAAGTATAAAATGCTGTGGTGTGTCCATTTTATGGTCCAAAACCACTTGAATCTGAACATTTATTAAACTCTCATTGATAAGCTAATGTATCATTGTTACAAGAACTTTTTTGCAAAATTTAAAGCATCCAAGGCAGTTTGAGGGGAATAAATATGTAAAACACTGACTTTTTGTAATTATAAAACACCCATGCAGCCATGTATCCCACTTTGTCCGATAGGACCAAACACTATTTTATTGTTTTGACAGTAAAAGCTTTGGATGGTCATCCTAAGGGTCATATTGGACAATATGGGATGTGTGGTTGCATGGGCGCTTCATAATAACAAAAAGTAAAATAACAAAAATACCAAACTCCAAGGGAAATTCAAAACGGAAAGTCCTTTATAAAATGACAAAACCAATTTGCACAAACACATCAAACAAATGGAAAACAACTGTCATATTCCTGACTTTGTACAGGCATTTCCTAAAAACCAGGTTGATTGTTGATCTGTTTTGGTTATTGAATTTTTTTTAGTCTGTCAGTTTGTTATATGCCATTTTTTATTTATCTGTCAATGCATGTTCTTTGGTATGGTATATTGTTGATAACTAAATTTAAACGATTTGATAAAAAACTGAAAAAAAAGTTGTATAAATACATAGATTTAGTAATGCATTTGTTTATGTAAATGATATGGAGAATGATTTGTTTAGATAAGATGTATATTGTAAGTCTCATAAGTATAATAGAAAAGATTTACCTAGGTTACGTATAATTTCTTTGAAATTAGTATGTTTGGTTAAAAATAATATTGTAAAGTGGACATGTCCTTCTGACCTTGACCTCCCTTGCATGGCTAATTAATGGATGTTGATTCAAGTCTGGTGAAGACTAGACTCTAAAACAATATAATTATAGGCCAATTTTATTTGATATAAAGAACCCTTTATCTCCATTTCAGTGTGAGATTCTGGGATATTTTACGCCCTTCTGGAAGTCTTGCTCCCGCATTTGAATGAAGAAGTCTATTTTAGAATTTCTGATATCTCTCATTTTCATTTTCAGTTAGTTTGTATATTTCATCATACCTGTAGTTAGGATCATTATTTCAAGAACTGCAAAGCAGGCAAGACATATATAATATATGATTACAGTTTGATAAATATATTTTGGCTGTTTACAATTGATTAATATGCATGCAAATACTTACATATTTATTATTTTTATACTTTTTTAATAATTAACATTATGATAGAGTGAAAAATTACACCACAACAATTACTTTCAATTCAATTTTTTCAAGTTAATTTTTTAATTAGTAACTTTTTCCAAGTAGTGTTTGTCACTGCTAAAGCTACCAATCATTCAGTATGATGGAGAATTATCTTGTCAGGCTTTACATAATTTTGTAATCAGTTGTTAGTTTTAAAATATTTGTTCATTTTTTTCTTTAACTGATTAAAGCAGTTCATTTTTGCTCAAGTCTTCTTCCATTGCTTTAAGAGCTGCTGGCATCCTTTCAGAAACAGGGGATGTCTCAAAAAGATAACAACCTGACTTAAGAGCCTGTAATTCAGTTGTTGTTGTTTGTTGCTGTCTGTCGTTTATTGTTTTATTATTATTCAAGTCAGTGGTTTAAATTGCTTCACATTTCAACATTTCTAGGCCTTTAATTGCAAAGTATTATGTATGTGTTTTGTTTTGTGTTGCAGTCTATACACAGTCCCCTGTAGTTTCATACATTCAAGTCATTTGGTTTTTTGTGATAGATTGTCTTAATGGCAATTAAACCACATCTCATTTGTTTATTTATAACTGTTGCTGAAAAATTCTGTCCACTTATGAGACAAAATTTCATGGCAATGGACATTATTTAATATTTAGTTCTGTGAAAAACTGCCCAGGCAGACATTATTTCGCAGGATACTATTATGTCTTACATTTGAACAACCACATCAACCAATTGAAAAGGACAAAAAAATCAGAAAAGTATCTGTGTTTGGCATGAATCATTCCTAAATTACCAGGTAAATGTTTAAATAATAGATTAATGAAAAATATAAAGTTGTATCTTGTCAAGAGAAAAAGGACATATATATCCATCATTGTTCATCTAGTCTGCATAATTCAAATTAATTCTTTAAATTTGGCTTCATCATCTTTTTCTCGCTCTTCTCGTCCTTCAGGTAACTCAAATCCAATAGCTCTGTAAAAGTAAATCCATTTATCACCAGTCAGGACATCAAGTTTTATACCTTTTTGCCGGAGATTTTTCAAACCCTCTCTATTTTCCGAAACATTATCCAGATAGAAGTTTGAAAACTGAATGTTCATCTCTATTTTTGCCCCTTCTTTTTCTTTTCCTTCTATATTTGAATTTGGCATTTTCTCAGCCACTTCTTTTTCTTTTCCTTCCATATTTAAATTTGACATTTTCTTATTCAAATCATCTGCTGTTTCAACAGTTGTACCATTGGATGAATCTACAGCAGAGCGTATGTCATTCTCCAGACTGGCCTTGAAATCACATAATTTAGTGGAACAACAATGAGGGTGTTTATTACAAGGTGAAAAGCTTAGAATAACATCTATAGTGTGTATGCCTTTATAACTTCCTCTATTGTAATCTTTCTGTTTTTTCAGGTGATTCTGAATTTCCATCAATTGTTTTATCATAATAGATTCAGCATGTTCTCCCTTGTAATCTCTTATCATTGGATCATTGTCTATCCTTTTCCAAGTGTTCTCTGGAATGTCCTCATATTTAGTGTTTGCGTTTGAGCTGTATTTATACAGAAGAGTTACTGTATGTGGCCAGGGTTCTTTTTTATTTCTGTACTTATATGGAATTGCAAATATACTTTTAAATTCTTCTATTGATACAAGTGTCTCTGAACCTGAAGTAAATAAATTTGCAGAGTTTATAATAATTATAATCAGTATTAAAGCTATTATGTTTTGTCCTGTTGATTATATTCCTCAGTTTCTTGATGGTCAGCTAAGAAATGCTAATTAATTTAAACTTGAATAGTACTTGGTACCAAATTAGAAAAAAATCAATGTATTAAATATTTGTATTAGATAATAAGACTCAGTATAATTGGCAATAAGACAATTGAACCCAATAAAGAGCAAATGATGAGCATTACAACAAGTCTTTGTACAGCCTTACACCATTTTTTAAAAACCTTTCCCACTAAAATATCATACATATCATTGACACAACCTATAACTGTAAATTTGTTGGGTAATGCCTATTATTCAAATCTACAATAAATAGATACAAACCATAATCAGCAAAAATGATCAGCACGACAATGTCTAGAAATAAGTCAACACGGCTGGAAATGTCACGCGTAACATGCATGTACATACAATCTTTAACTTTTACATCATTTGGTGCTTGGTAGAGATTTATCTCATTGGCAATTAGTTTTACCACATCTTCTTATTTTTATATTGTCTAAAGTTTTTATACATCAAAACCTATATCAAACCTTCATAAAATGTTACAAAACTTACATGGATGCGTCTTCATGATATTAAAGGAAGAATTAACACAAATTGATATTTAGAATTGTTTATCTGTCCTGCCAATTTGTCTTTGAAGAGGTACTTTTTCTTGTTTCTGTAGTATTTAGGAAAAATTGAAAGTTTTGTGAATAGTTATTTTATAATTATGACCATATCAATGATAGTTCATGTCAACACTGAAGTTAACTGACTACTGTATTGTATTGCAGACTTCTCTCATTTTCATGGAAAATATTTGGCCTCCCTCATCAGTCATGTTCCATTGACTTTAAAAGTTTTGCAATTTAAGGTATATTAATTGCCTTCAGATTAGTACCTGTTACTGCAGGTGTTTTGTAAGTTGTCAGTTGTAGATCTATTGGGTTTTCTTGTTGCTGGGAAGTCATTGATGCTGATGGCTGTGATGTTACATTACTGATTGGTTGTTCTTGGGAATAGGGTGGCTGCTGTTGAATCTGTTGTCTCTGTCCCTCGTGTTGACATGATGCAGTACTGGTTGGTGAATGTGGATTCTGAATCAAACTAATGTGTCTTATTGGTGTATATGTTACAGTACAAATTAAAATTTAATAGGATCTGGAATCCTTCTAATGCAAATCTGAATTCCGATATCTACTGGCATGAAAGTGATAGAAATTGGGATATCCATATAAGTACAAGGAGGATCCTGGATTGCATGAGATGATTACTAGAAAAGACACAATAAAGAAATATTTAGTTTTTCTTTGTAATGACATAATTAAATCGAATCAAACTTGTTATAAGTGGATATGAGGTATTTCAAGGTTTTAACAACAGTTTAGTATACATATATTTCAGCTATTTTATTGAGATAACATAGTATTCAGAATTAAGAGTCTGGCTTATCCTGCTTTGTCATTGTGCAGCAGATATTATAGCCTTTGTATGAGGTTGATACAATAATATATTGACCTGAAAGAAGTATATTGTCTGAGGACAAAGTCTGAGGTTGATATACTTCTTTGGGTGATATATCCTGTATTGACCTCATACACAGGCTACAATTATTATATTATTAATGTCCGACCATATTTGTATCAAAATCGTCAGTGCATTATATTCTCTTTTTTTGATCATTTAATTTTGTTAGAATTTTATAGATTTCATATTTTCTCTTTGACAATAACAACATATTAGTTGTTATTACAATTATATTTTATGTTTTATTTTTGTGTACTTAGTATTTGAAGATAATGTTTTTAAATAATCATCATAAATATACACTCTTTAAAAACTTTTAACAATGTTATAAAATTCATTAGATAAATGTCACAAAGTATATCGATTTTTATATATTCTAAAAATAACAGTGCAATATCACTTTTCTATCTGCTGTTTTCAATTGACCTTTGAAAATATAGTGTAACATGTGACTATTCCTGAACGAATCAAATTAGTCAAAATATACAAATTAATAATTTTTCTTATTACTAGACACTTGGTAGAACTCTGCTTTATACCAAAGGCAAAATGAAATATTTTCCGTAGCCTTAAAGGAGTCTTTTCTACACTCAGTGATGAGACCCGTATTTTTAAATGCAGAATTGATAGGTAGGGGCGACTTTAATTTAAGTACAAATTGTGTTAAGAAAAGCCATGTGTAAATCAATGGAATTTTGCAATCTATATCTAAGGATCCTACTGAATTCCCATTTGTACTGTAACATATATTACCTACTTACTCAGAAAGCAACCAATCAAATTATTTGATTTGGTGTTTCCTCCTTTTGTACTTAAAAGTACTCAGTAAAGTTTTATGACCCAATGTCTAATGTCCCAGTTATTTTGTATCTTAGAAGTTTGGAAATATGAGTTTACCTCTATACGCAGTTGTTTCGCGAATTTAAGAAATTCTCCATCAAACCATTGTTGACATCCTGTTCCTTGTATAAGTAGTTTTGAAGTTGATTTATATAGAGTAATGGTTACACTGTTCCTTTTATATGGAAAGCTATAGACCATTCCGTTTTGGCCTCCTTTGCCTTTTGGTTGAAATAGAGATTTGTCATATTGTTGGAAAATTATGCGTTCAAATTTTGAGTAAATGTCCTGGCTTAAAAATCTGATGGTAATTGATAAGGACGATGTTTTTGTAATAGTATATAAATGGTAGGGGTCATTATCATCAGTTTTAGGTAATCCACCTGAAAAGAAGGATAATATATTGACATTGTTCACAAATATACTCCATAATTGTCTGCATATGAATTAATTCTAATAAAAAATTTTGGTATTATTTTCATTTATCCAACATACATGTATATATCATTACTGTTATCTAAGTACCAATTAATTGATATTGTAAAATGTCAGCTGAAAATAACAATAATGTAGCTAGTTGTCTCTGGGATGTTTAGTTGATGTAATATATTATACGCTTCATTCCAATGGTTGTCTTTCCGTTTTAAGTGTTGGGTTTTAGGTGACGTAATTTGATGTCATTTGTGCGTTTCTTAGGCATAAAATCTACGTCAGAATGTTGAGCTAAGGAATGAATATTCTAATTGGATAACTTCCTTATGACTGCTTCGATAATTGTTTTTAAATGATAAAATTCATATATGTCTTAAGGCAGAGTTGGATTATGTACATAAGAATAAAGACAGGTGTTTTAAAAATGTCAAGCAGTCACAATTACTCTATCAGTTCAAAGATATTTGACATAAAAAATCAGTGTATATTAAAAGATATTTCTGGTAATGAAAATTTGTAGGTGATGAAGTAAATATACATCCAAGTCCTTTGGTCTTTGGTGGATATTTGTATCGATGACAATCATGTATTTATACAATTATAATTCTGATAAAGTAAAAGTAATTAACAGGCTTACCTTCTGCCATAATGTTTTTGATATAAACAGAAATAGTATCTTTTTATATAAAGGACTTCATGCAAGCATAACTGGAATGTGAAAGATGAGAGTCATTCTAGTACATGTATGTAATGGAATCTTTTAAACTAAGTTTCTGGCTATAGTTTATTGTATATAAACAATTGGGAAATTTAAACACATGAAAGGCAATAGTTTTGACTAAGCTCTCCTAGGTTTTCATTGTATCAGTAGAATATTATAAAATACCTATATTCCCATGGACAACTTGATACAATGATTGTCAATTAGAATTCAGTTAATATTTGTATAGTTTTTATTTTTTATTTCAGTCTCTGACTTTAAAACATATTCATTCATCTTGTACACTTCAGCTTGGACATATTGAAACAATTAAACTCTCTCGTGAAAGACTATATCAGTGAGAAAATTTTCAAACTCACTTTTTTGCAGTGAATTCTTAGAAGTGCAATAATTTTAATTGAAAAAAAGGCATTTACAGCAGAGATATGAATTGTAAAAATTATAATTTGTATTTTGACTTTATACAAATTGTAATTTGTCCTACATTAGTACTTGTACAAATGACAAATTTCCCCTGGAAAGGTTTGTACACTAGCTATTACGCCATAATAATTGTTCCTGTTTGGAACAAATATTTTATACCCTTTGTTCAGTTAGGGACAAATACTGTATTGTTCCAGTTTTTGTCCATTGGGAACTTCTATTATGAAGGAACTAACATTTCATGACACACGGATGGGGGGGAGGGAGTATTACTGGTAAAAAAATATAAAAGGCCATCTTTTCTATCATGTTAAATTATCATGTATTCTTCGTTTGCACAAATTATAAGTGAAATTTAGTCAAATTTTGTACAAATTGTAATTTGTACAAGCATTTTTTGGACAAATTACATTTTGTACAATCAATTAACATGAGGCATTAAAATTTGTACAATTTTTTTGTACAAAATGATAATTTGTACACCTTGTATATACATTAAAAGCTATAGTTGTTAACTTCTACATTATATGCAGGTCTCAGGTGTAGAGTTGTCTTATTGGCCATCATACCACATCTTAAGGTGGATGTGCCTCAGTGGCTTAGTGGTATAAGTAGTCCAACTACTGTATCCCTAGCCTGTCAACACTGAGGTTGTGGGTTTGAATCCTGCATGTGGCAAGTGCGTTCAATTCTAATCTAGATGGACTATGATTGTCAGCTTTCCTATGAAAGGTTGATGGCTTCCTCCATTAATAAAAACTGACTGCCACTAAATAGCACAATAGGGCTGATTCAATCAATCAAACTTAAGATGGATTATTAGTTGTCTCATGGGCAATCAAACCAAATTTGCTTATTTCTATAATGATATGAAGTATGGTCCTAAGTCAGGAACCTGATGTTCAGTGGTTGTCCTTTGTTGATGTGGTTCATAAGTGTTTCTTGTTTCTCGCTTTTATATAAATTAGACTGTTGGTTTTCCTGTTTGAATTGTTTTACACTAGTCATTTTTGGGGCCCTTTATAGCTTGCTGTTCGGTGTGAGCCAAGGCTCCGTGTTGAAGGCCATACTTTAACCTATGATTGTTTACTTTTACGAATTGTGACTTGGATGGAGAGTTGTCTCATTGGCACTTATACCACATCTTCTTATATCTATATACGGACTTACCTTCTGCCATGATGTTTGTGATATAGACAAAAATAGCCTCAATAGGATTTTTTGATATAATGGACTTCATTCAAGCATAACTGGAATGTGAAAGATAAGTAATTCTAGTAATTGAATCTTTTAAACTAAGTGCCATATTTGCATGATATCTGGCTTTAAATCTTTATTGTTTATTGTATATTTACACCAAGATGTTGAGGACCCAAATGGGTGTATCTAATTTACACCAAGATATCATTGTCAATGCAGAATGATATTTTTCCATAATTTAGAAGGGGAGTCTTTTAAAGTCTTTTAAATTTGAAATGATTAAGAAACTGAGGTTTCAACTTCCTCAGGCAAAGTTGACCTTAGATGGATTTGGCTATTTTTTTAGGTACTTTTTGTTCATATAGCTCTTCAACTGTTTCGGTTTTTATACATCTTTGGCTTTTAAATATTCCGCTTTGAGCGTTCCTGATGAAGGTAAATCCAGAAAAGTGCTTTGGACCCATTAAATTTATAATGTGTTGTTTTATTTTTTTTTTTTCAGCGATTTGACCATGTAATTGAAAAGCATGATAAATGCTGAGTGTACAATTTCATTTAAGAACATCTTGGTGTAAATTAGATACACCCATTCGTCTTATGCCGGCAAGGTGTATCTAATACAAACAATCAGGAAATTTAAACATGTGAAAGGCAATAATTTTAGCTAACCTAGGATTTAATTGTACCTGTAGATTATCATACAATTTATAATTTCCCATGGACAACTTGAAAACTTGTCAATTAAACAATCAGTTACCGTTAATATTTGTATAGTTATTATTGTTTTATTTGAGTCTCTTTAACTTTAAAACATATTCATTAACCTGGTACATTGACAGCTTGGACAATTTGAAAAAAACTATCTCATGACATGAAAGACTATATATGTATATAAGTGAGAAATATTTTTTGCAGTGAATTCTCAGATTTCATTAAATGTGATATTTTTATTATTGAAAAAAAGTATTTACAGCAGAGATATGTATATATATATATATATAGGTCATGTATATATGTAACACTCCCAAATGTGTCCATCCCCCTAAATGTGTCCGATACCCTCAAACGTGTCTATTTACCCCATATGTGTCCCTAAAATCCCAAATCGCCCTAACGTGTCTAATTTCGCATCCCTCAAAGTTTCAAATGTTTCCGATAATTGTTATTTGCCAAAACGTGTCCAGTTTAAAACACCAGAACATCTCAACATAAACGTTTAGCGCTAATATGTCCTCAGTAACGTCAATAACGTTTCGGGCAATTCAATGCATGATGGGGGACACAATTGAAGACGTCGGGTTTCGATTAGATTCTAAAAAAAGATAATGGTCATTTATGAGCATTAGTTTGTTCAACGCCAGTTGTTAATATTTAGCATAAATTGCAAGTTAATTTGCAACACATAAATCAACTTTTGACCATTGATTGGTAAATGTCCAGTGGCAAATATGTCATGCACTTAAAAATTGCAATTAGTTAGAATTGTACAGTAAAATTTATCATTAACTAAGTGAATTCTTTTCAACTAATATACTCTGGTGATGCGAGATTGGGCCTTTATTTTTTGCAGAACATTGGGATTAGGCCTGCATTTTTACAGTAATTCAGGATTTACATTAATCGGGACTCGGGAATAAAATATAAGTTCTGCGGGGTCCGGGAAAGAATGCCTTATTTTTTGGGGAATTCGTGATGATATCCCTTCATACACCCTCACACGAAATGCAGGTTTGGGAAATTTTGACTGCCACTGAAAAATGAGGGTATATTGGATAGTGACAGAAATGTTGCCTTCCAACATGCCAACAATGGACACCACAAGTGTTGTTGCAAGGGTTCTTAACTTGCAGAGAGAGGGGCACTCTCCCTACAGGAGGTATCTAATTTAATTTCCACATTCTGACCAGACATGGCTACGTACTTTTACATCCCGCACAGCCAAATGGACGCCCTACTTTGGCAAGGGTTTTACAGCCAGTTTGAAAAAGACTTAAACTACGCTCAAACCGGTGGAAGTGCCAGTCTTAAACTTGCAGTGCGGTGAGAGTTGTTTTTTTTTTTGTTTTTTGTTTTGGCTCCGTGTTGTTGACCTCACTGTGACTTTGAGATGAAGAATAGCAATAAAAGCACTGTTCCTTTTGCTGTTTGTGGTTTTTACTGTGCATAAACTGATTATATGTGTCATGGATGGATACCCCCTATCCTTTCTTTTCTATTTTAAAGTGACCATATTTCTATTCCTTTATAGTCAACCTTGGGGGTGGGACAATAGATGAAAGAGAAAGAGTACCTATACGTCAATGAAAGAGCACATTTGGGGGATTGGACACATTTGGGCGATTGGACACATTTGGGCGTTTTGTTTAAAATGAAACGATTTGGCGTTTTGTTAAAAATGAAACGATTTGGCGTTCATAAAAAGGACACGCTTTGGCGCCCTTTGACAACTAGACATGTTTTTGCAGTTCAGTGATGTCATATGGACACGTTTTAGGGAATCAGACACGTTTGTCAAGATGGACACGTTTCTGAGTGTTACATATATATAGAAGTCTATAAAAAAGGACCAACCAACAAGTTTAATATGTACCGGATCGTCTAGAAGCGCAGAAAAAAGGAAAAAATTATAAAAGTCTTTAATATTTGCGCAACGGCACTTTATATATATATAAATTGGTCAAAACCTTTTCTCAAAATTAAAAGTGAGATTTATTGGAGAAAGATCAGTTTTTACTGCAGGAATTTGATAAAAAGTTAAATTTCACATGTCACTCTAATACTTTAATGTGTGATATAAAGCTAACAACTTTAGGATTGACCTATACATCGTTCTTTTTTTGGCTTTTACTTTTTGATAAAGGTTATACATGAATAATGTTGTTGTTCAGTAGTTGCATCAGGTATTTTTAGTACAAAACAGCTCATGATTACCCCAAGAATAGATTACCTCAGATTTATTTGGCAAATCCTCTTCAATGCAATACAACTACTGTATTTGGCCTTTTTAACTTTTTTGATTCAGCCTCACTGATGAGTCTTTTGTAGACAAAAAGCACGTCTGGTGTACAAAATTTTGATCCTGGTATCTATGATGAGTTTATTTAATACAGGTAAATTAAAGGGGAATATCTTGATTTTTTAATTGGAAAATTTCTTTCTTCTTTAGATTGATTTGTTAGCCTTGTTTTGAATTTTCATAGCTTTGGAATTTTAAGAATGGCTGAAGCTAGTGGGAAAAATAGTGCTTAATTAAGGATACATGATATAGATTTAAGAATTTAAATTCAACAAAAAAACAATTGTTTTTTGCCATGACTAATTGAAGTGTTTTATTTGAAGAAAAAAAAACATTTGACCTTGTTTGTCCCATTTGTTCATTGTTTTTGGAGTATTATCTATTGAAATCTATCTAAAATTTTAACACATAAAAGTGACCTTTATCTCAAAATATCTTTTTGAACTTTTGTTAAATGTTAACTTGTAACTGACATTATTGTATGAAACATTAATATATGTACATATAAGTGAAACAGAGTTACCATATATTACAGCTTAATATGTGATGCTTTTGAAACATTTGTAAAATGTGAACCTTGAAGAGTGCATGGGAAAATGAATGTTCAGGTTTACTCCCCTAACATATGAAAATTTAAGGCCTCTGAGGCAGGCAGGGAAAAATTTTAATTTGATTTGATTTTTTTGTGTTTCACTCTTAAGAGAATCTTGTTGTTAACCTGAAGTTTCAGAATAAAGTATATATTGAAATGCATTTTGACAATGGGCATGATTTTTTTTATCATTATTCCATTTTATGGTAAAGCAATACAATAACTTAAACAACAAAAAAACATAAATTTCAGAACTAAATCTCATGAGAATTTTATATAATTCATTCATAAACTTGTAAACTCAAAGTCAATTTTATGAATGAAAAACAACTTGATAATACTTGATGTGGTTTTAAGTTTTAACGTTTATTAACACTTTGCACCTTGTTTATTCTTGTGAATAAATTTGTAAAGTAGGGCTGAGATGATTAAACTGTTTCAAACCATTTACCATGCAAAACGCAGTTGACTAAATTATACATTTGGGATATTTGATCTTTAATTAAAGCATACTTAAAATGACTGATTTAGGTATGCAATAAGCAGAAATCGTTGTTGTATTTTATGTTCACATGCTTGAGAAAAAACTAGTAAAAGGCATTTAGATCCAGCAATATTTTAGATTGCTGTTTTTTTCCGCTTGTAATTTTCACTTCAAATACTGATGGTTATCTATAAGCTTTAAACCTTCAATTGAGAGTGGATCCCAGCTTTCTTTCTTCTTGAGATTGTTTAGCTTTGTTTTGAACTTTCATAGCTTTGGAATTTAAAGAATGGATGCAGCTTAAGTGGGAAAGAGTGTGTGATCAAGGATATAGTTTAAATTCATCTAAAAAAGTAAAGAATAATTATAAATGGATTTATTTTAGCATTAATAATCCTTACTATCTGGTGTTACTTATATTATCAGATTTTTCTAAAAAAAAAATATATAAGAGGAGATCCAAATTTGACATTTTAGAATTATTTATGTTCATATTATATTCAACAAATAAAAGTTTTATTACAAAAATCTGCAAACAAAGTTTTTTTGTAAAAATATTCCTAGAGAGTCGAAATCTTGCTTTGAATTTGGACCTAATGTTAAATTTCTGGTATTTTCTAATTAACAAATTGAGCGCAATTCAGAAAGAAAAGCAATATATTATCTAAATATCGAAAGAATTTAATGAAAATAAAGAACATATGATGTTTATATTGTTCTGAAACCAAAAGATGAATTAAAAGCCAGAATATTGGCCTTCATGATGGCCAAAATAATGTCTAAAGTTACTTTGCTAGAAGAAGTTGCAAACCTTAGTACATTTGTACTTAAATACATATACTTTTTGCATATATGCATAAGGAGGACCTTGTGATAAATTGGGGGGGAGGAAAGGAAGGTTTTTCTCCAGTTGATCATTTTTTTTTGTGTGAACATTTCTTTTCATATTTGTGCACATTTGATTCCTGCAT